CCCGTTAATTGTTGCCAATATTTATAAACAGAAACTGTTTATTTATAACGAAATCTAAATCTACCGTCCTGCGTATCCTATATGTATCAAAGAAATTTAAATATTTTATGACGCCCTCAGCTTAATATCGGTACATTGCTTGCGGTATTCAGCCTCTTTCGGTTCTGTGTCTAGTTATCCCGAAATTACCTACCTTTCTTCAGGGGAACTTTTTCTGATCCAATAATCCCATATTATTTGCAGACATTCCTCCATTCCATTGCAACGTTAGGCTAACCACATAATTGATTATATGACGTCCACCATAGTATACAACTGTTTTAGCTATAGTAATCACATCCTTATTAACCTATTCAAGGAAAATAGAGGTGAACCAGTTCGAATACAGCGAGAAGGAAATAACATCTAAAAGGAGTGAAATATCCGTTACGGGGTATGCTCAGAACATTGACCTTCTTCCCACTTTCACACTGGTTGTTCGTTGTGCAATCTATTCATGATTTTCTATTGAAAAATGTGTATCATTAGCGTCTGTAGACATTCATTCATTCGTCCACTTCTGCTGTTATGTTGTGTATGTTCGAACCGATTGATGCATTCAGTATGATCGTTGTTAGTCGGACTAAGTTCAACTAGTGATGTCTTAACGTGATTCATAAAGCATACCTTTTTCAATTTAAAATGCCCGAGTATCAATTGAATATGTGATGTTGCTATGTGGATAGTCCGATTACCCCATCGTTTCACATTGTCTTGTTCTTTTTGAGATGATCTTGTTGTTATGTCCAGTCCATCCGTGTGGTGAAAGCACGCCTGCTGTACAGCCGGAGTTCGCTGGGTCTGCTAAAGACTCGCGGTCGTAGACATGGTGGGGTTTCTCGCTCGGGTTAGGTGAGCAAGCGCCAGGTCTGTTGTTGCTGTGACCTATCCGACCGATCGATAAACGAACCCAATCGGTTATGGGATTTTCGGGTCAGGTCATAGACGCCAACCTACTGGAATTACGGCAACTATGATGCAGTTAACGATTCATAAACTAAAAGTGCATCTCACAAACTGTCCTTAGACCAGGGTTACGATGATCTTTGGCGAGTGACCTGTATAATTGCATCGGTGCTCTAGGACGAGTGAGAGTATCGTTCATTCATTCACACAGGAGCGTCCGTATGACGGTACTTACGATCGCTCGGAACTGACATCTCATTCCACTCACCTGCCTATCAGTCAATCACGATTATCGTTCACCCTTTGCACGTTGGTGCTACAAAGCCCATCGATCGACCGAATGACCGTGGCAATGACTAGCAAAAATGACCACATTTCAGTTCAGTGCCCCACAGAATTGCAAAAGCTGCAGATTATAAAGATGCATTTTTAGCAAAATAATAAATCGTCGTTTGTCTCAGTTTGGCTTTCCGTTGGAAATCAACAAACGCGCTGTGTAAATCAATTGTACATTCCAATAATCTACCCGAACTCCGAGCATTAGCCAAGGTAAACAGCTTCAATTGATCCAATAACTTCTGCGCCTCTGATTGAGATAACTTCCGGCGCATTCACTGCCTCACTTTCATTTTCTTTGTGATGCTTAGTCTGATTCGAAACGGATTCATCAAATGACTATATAAGAGACTTGAAACAAAAATTTTAAATAACCCACTTCTTCATCATCAAATTCCAAACAGGCGCTTTCTTCTTCAAAAAGACGGTCGCCAATAGACACGTAATGAGTAAAGTCCACTATCAAATCGTATTTATTCTCTGGTGGCTGCATCACCGGCTGAATCAATGTGGATTTGAACCCTGCTTTCATGAAAGCGTTGACCAGTACATCTACATTGAAAGTATCACAGCCAGCATATCCTTGGATCAACTGCGATAACCCCGCTCGAAACTCATCCACTGCATCACGTGGTACCGCTAAATATTCACCACAGACCTATAAAGTAAGGCACACGAGTTAATTGTTTCTTACTTTGTATGATTGAATACCATATATGTCTGGCCAAGAGCGAAACCAACCTTTGGAAGCCTTGAAGTCATTATGATGCAGTCTTTGTGCTAGCTGGATTGCCTTCTTACGTACGATGCTCTCCACTACTGGGAACTCTCCGTTCTTTTCCCTCATAGCGGCAAACCAAGCAAAGTTGTCTCATTCACTGCCTTGAACTTTTGGTTGGTTTTCAGGTGACATCTTTTCTCAGATGCTCCAGCGTTCAAAATTCAGTCGTTCTATGGGATACAACATTGTAGACAGTTTTTCGTGAAATTCCAAGTGACTTGTCTATGGAGCTCTGAGTTGCACTTGGTTGTTCCAGCATTTCCTACACATTATGCTTCTCTCTGATCGATAGGCGCTTGCACATTTTGACGTCAAATGACACTGTNTTCTGGAAAGGATTATCCAATCAATGAGCAGTGCCATAAACGCGTCACATTCGGTGAAACGCCATTGGTTGAGTGCGACATTTCAGGGTGGATGATCAATGGTGGTCCCGAATATCGGTCAACGACCAAGTGTCAGGAACTGCGACATATTGAGGGGTGCAACATCATATAGTCAGAAACGACACTATTAAGCATACGATTGGTTTAGGTTTTCGAAAAAGTGGACATATATTGGAAAATGCGACTTCTCAGGGGTGCGACCTGGCAGGAGATTGACTGTATATAGATAGATAGATAGATAGTTGTCAAAATACATTTTCTGGGATCAAGTATATGTATAACCCGACAAATTATTGCTGGATACGTATGCCTGATGAATGGCAAGCACCGTGAGGCCGACGGGTGCTTCCAAGGAAAATCCATATACTGCTAAAAAATAATGCATATGCATTTAGAGAGAGGAAGACAGTCAGACAGAACAGATTGATTTTCCAATCATACGGAACAAAAATCCAATGGCGCTGGGATTAGCCAGGTCAGTAAAATATGAAGGGAGTAGTAGATTGACGTTTGACTAATGTCAAGACAAGATGATATTATGAACCACTTGTTTATGGATACACAGGATCGGTACCATTACTGCCAATCCCAGGGTTAACTCAACTTGCCAGTCTTTTATCATGTGATGGTACCCTCAAACGAGACAGCCCGGCTTTTCACCTTCGTCTGTGTCCTGTATGTACTCTGCGTCACAGTGCGGTTCATGAGACTACTGCTAGGGTTGTGAATTACCAATAAGTGATGAGCGGAGTTTACTGGAAGGTACAAAAATCATACTCAGTGGGCTCGATACTAAAGGTCACATTGAGCTTTCCGGTGTTGTTAGGTACTACTCTCGTAATTTTTTTCTTTTTTCATTTTACTTCCTTTTATTGAATGCACAAAGATACAATTTTTCAGGAAGGGGGAAGCGGCCAATCAAAGGCCTGCCATACAATACACAAATGGGGAAAGTCAGGCAGTGGTGGTGGGATTCGAACACTCGTCCGCCGCTGGGGTGATAATTGGTGGCGTTACCACCGGGCCACCACCGCCCGTATTGCGTATTGTGAGGAAGCGGTTGGTATATTCTTGTAATATTCCGAAATGCACAGGACATCCTGAAGCAGATAAGTAGTTTCGATATTGTAACAACAACAACAAGAAGTTCGAACAGACCGGCGAACTTCTTAATCACAGATCCACAACTTTTCGTGCAACCTGGAATTGGTTGTTTCTGATTATCTTTTTCGTTCTGTGTAAACCCCCTTTGTCCACAACCCATGCCATTCCCGCGATCCGCTCTTCTCCTCAGTCCGGCTCTGGTCTGAGGGATTTACAACACTGATATTTGTGCTAAGCGTGTAAACTATAGAAAGCGTGCTTTATAGAACCGTCTTGAATGCTGTCACATGCTGGTACATTATTATACTGATGTAGTGCTTTCATGAATAAACATCCACCACATTGTTCAAATCCCATAAGTGCTACCCGAATTTCCGAATTGTGTACTTTCGGCCACCCACAGCATCTTGGTATCCTTGTATATTCAATATAAAGGTGAGTAAACGTTTATTATTACAAATAATCACGTCTGAATTGCATGCCTTAGTGTTATCCACTGTAGAAACGGAGCAAATACATAAATAAAGGGAACATGCAGTAAACCGGTTCGTACATAGATAGCAGTGAATGTCAAAGTAGAGTAGTAAGTTAATTTTCTCGTACACTGTTTAGTTTAAATTTATGTTCTCGCTTTAACTCAATTGTGACACCAACCATTATTTGGTTCGTTGTTGTTTTTACATGTGATGGTATCAAACGTACAATGCGTACAGTTCAAAGTGTGCTTAGAGTGAATAGACTGACAATCTTCAGGTAGTTATAAATTATTGCGCACACCAGTCCACGATTTGTATAACAATCTGCGTAACCTTTCACGCAATTTTTTCTTGTTGTTTTTGATTTGGAACTGAACTGTAGAACAAAGGTGTGTTAAGAGGTTATCCGTTTTTCAAAATGGTTTAGAATGTTGACAAAATATTGAGAATCGGTTCTCGTAGCTCGGGTGAATTTCATTTTGCCTGTTCGCCAAGCCTGGCAATTTGTTTCCAAACGTTTCATCACCAGTGCTTGTGAAGTGGCAATTTTCTGCCTGTATCCGTTCGTTTATATGTGTTCTTTTCCACTGACTGTTTTCGTCCCTTGTTCTCACTGTGTTCGACTTGGTTCGCTGTTGAACAGGTGTGAGGGAAGGAGGTTGCCCTTCCGTCCTGATTGCGGTTTTGGTCCGTTCTCAGGTCATGCCGTGACCTTTATTGTTGCGTCATTTGATCCTTGAGTTGCAGTGGCGTGTACATGTGATCCAGTTCGATGAGCCTGTTTATTGAGTTGTTTGAGGAGTGCCAAGCATCGGGAAATTCGCTGGCGTGTTTTGACCGGATTTAGTCCAAGTTCCGTTTGTACAAAACTTTCATTTTTCTTTCTCTTCAGCATTACCCGTTCAACCGGCTACATCTCAATTGTCTGCGTGCTTTCGTAACCACAAAACCGGGAGTGATTCCACTGTTACTCTCTTACGGATCAGAGCAACATGCTGAGCTGACCGATGCACGACCGGATTCGGAAAGACTAGCACGTAAACTGTCGGAGAAGAAAATTACCTTTGATGGTATTCCACGGTACTATAATGCAGATGAAATTTCGCGACTTCTGGGTGGGAGCTCTACGGATCGTCAGTCGAAACGCGTGAATCCCCCATCGAATTCTAGTGCTAAAACCTCACTCTCACGACCACAGTTCCCTTTGATACAAGTAGTCAGCTCGATTTGTCATCTTCTATGCCAACTTTTCAATGTTACTGGTGAGTATTTCCATGGTTTTCCCTCATTGTTTTTATCAGCGAACCTATTTTAACATGAAATATGCCAAACTATTCTGGTGGTTTCACCGTCACTGGCACGTTTTGATCGCCTCCCTTGTTACATCTTTGATATCTAAACTAACTTGTTTGAAATCGCTTCCGCACCAGTCAGCCTGACATTTCCTCATCTTGTAATCACATCCGATGCTCTTTGCTCTCCGGCTCAATGTTTCCACCGATTGGTTGGGGCCTGTGTTACGCATGTCACCAAATATGTTGCCACGGCAAGCGATGTTCGCCGAGGCAGGTAGTGGATGGAAGAAAGTCAAGGGTGTTCAAGCTAAGACCTGGAATGAGGGTATGAAAACCTTAACCAGGAGTCTGGGTTACATAGATCCCGTTAGGCTTCTTGGTTGGGGACCTCGGGATGATCATACCCGATGGGTAGAGACACTAAGTGGTGTCCTAAATAATGGCGTTCGTGCAACTTGTTGATTTCTCAGTGAGCTGTGGAAACCGTTATTGTCCGGTTAACGAACTAAGGACACCAGTGTCACATGTGCAGAAATACTATGAAATCAGTTTCCTCACTTCGACGAGGAGTTGGAAGAAGCTTTTTTACCCTTGTCTATTAAATTCGGAACTTCAAAGGTTTTGTTTGTCCCTTCCGACTATGTCATACTTTCCCTCTGTTGTGTTATGTTCACAGACCGAATCGAAACACTACGCTTCCCGGAGATTCACAAAATTCAACCGGATTTAAATCTGTTCTATCCGATGTTCTTTGAACCTCGGGCATCGGGAATCACAGCGTTTGAAGACATTTTCATCATATCCATATGCGTGTTCTTTGACGTCTGGACTCAGCTGAACGCGTGCTCCCCGGATGTGGACGGTGTAGGTAGTTCTTTTTCATAAGGGAATGCATGGATCTGTGATCGCCACACATCTGTTTTTCTCTGTTTCGTTTTCCAGTGTGCATAACACCTGTTGTGGTATGGTTACTGGGTCCCTGTTGCGTGCAGAATGCTGCGACTCGAAATGTGATGATAGCGTATCGATCCACCTGCGTGTGGGAGTGGAGAGCATTGTTGCCACTGTCAATCACTTGCGTGCGCACACGTGTGCGTGTGTTTGTGTGGATCGGGTATGACGTTAATGGTTGAATTGATTGGTTCTTTTTTATTCCATTGCATACAAGGGCGTCGATCGCTACCGTTCACGCATCCCAAAACATATAACACATCAATCTGTGGCATCGGCTTTAGTGCGCAACTTCTTCATATGCAGTGGCAATCCTGGTCTAGGTAGGTTTCAGCTCCGAATTCATTACATTTAGCTGCCGCGTATTGCCACAGTTGTTTAGCTTAGTTTCTTTTCACTTTTTATCGGAGTGAAATCGTCATTCAACATTATTACCATAGTTTTACATAGATGTTTCAGATTCGGCACGAACAACCAACTCCACAGGTTATATTTTGATAAAAGTCAGGCTGCTCAGTTAATTTCTGTATCATGAACATCGAGAGCTTTACCTCGCTATAAATAAACTACTTTAGCAGAAAAAAATGAAAAAGGACGGTACGTTTGATAGATTTTCATTCCCTTCATTGTGCGGTACTTACCATTGGATGTGTATTGGATGGGGTTCCTTGAGATCGACTCGTGTCATTCAGAACACATGCATTTACACACATGCACAAATGCTCACATACTGGGTTGAAATAATGTAGTCTGTAAGTATGGACAAAGTATTCAGTTGCCAAGTTACATCACTAGCAGTCAGTGCTAACTAATTCTTTTGTCCTGTTTACCCATGATGTGATCAAATTGGGGTGCTATTCATTTCAGATGCCTAAACCCATTCTGATCGCTTGTGCAAATTGTCTACGTTCATGTTTTGATTGTTCTGTGGAGCTTGGATAGATTTGTTGCATAACTGTGATGTGTTTCAGCGTGCTATTCTTTCCTCGTGTGTGTTTTACGCCGCGCATACCAAGGATTCATCTTTTCCTCCACCCGTAAAACTCAAGAAATATGCGAGTGTTGTATTATCTTGACAATCTGCTTTAAGTCAAAGTGCTTGCTCTTTTTTAGTCAATAATTTAACTGCTCATGAAAGCATTTTTTGCATCAACCAGACTTTGGTATTCATCTGTTTAAATAGTTTCAGTGTATATTCATTCTTTCGCGTTCTTTCTGTTACCAATGAACTTTTGCGTAGAAAGTAGCTCTAGGCGATATTCTCGTAGTCTGAGCACTATATGTCAAAGTAAACCGTTGCTCTTCCATATCTGGCAATTCTGTTTCAAACAACCGTCTCTCTATTCGCTTCATCGTTTGCCGTCGCTGTCTAACCCTCACTAATGGTATTTCTCCCGTTCTAATCATTAAATTTTCATACCTTCATTGTGATCCATGGGAAAGCTACCCCTTTCAGATACCCATTGACTCCTCTCATTCCCTCTTCATTATGAACTAACCTCCAGTGACTAACCAGGTTTCATTTTTTTGTTCAGTCATCTGAGTCGAAATAAGTTCATAAGGAATCCCCTGTTTACGGATAAAGACAGAATGATTGCTCAACTCTGAAGGAACCTTTAGAAAGTGATTGAGTTATCCCTTGTTGTATATTTTTCTTTGTTGATGTCTCCTACCAGATGTGGTCGATACAACCTCGACCAGGTCTAAAACCAGCCTGGTTCTCACGTTTGCACACGTCACGTGTGGCAGACAATCGACGGAGTGTTATACCAGCAAGAAGTTTAGAGGCGATGTTGATTAAACTAATTCCTCTGTGTTTTTCACTAGAGGATCTGTCACCTTTCTTGTAAATCGGTATGATGACCGATTCACATTATTCAGCTGGAACCTGTTCCCTCTCCCACACTGGCATGAGGGTGTGAAAATCCTAACCCGGAGTCTGGGTCACATAGATCCCGTTAGGTTCCCTGGCTGGGGATCTCGAGATGGTCGTAACCGATGGTTAGAGACACTGAGTGATATAGGCGTTCGTGCATCTTCTCAATTTCTCTGCATCATTAGTCCACAGAACTTTCCAATTTTCCCTTCGATCTTACTTTCAACCTTCCTGTTTTCCTCCTATTGTTCACCCAAATGGGAAGCCAAAAAACAACAACCAAAAGCGTCGCACGGAAATGCATGTTTAATGGTTGCTTAAACTGAACTGAGCTCCTAACACGATGATGTTAAATGGTTGCGTTTCGGCCGAATTGTAGGCTTATATGATGACACAAATCTTTAAGAATAGAAATATTGAAAACAATTAATGCGAACCATGAATGTTGAGTTTTCATTACAACTTCAGTGTGCTCCAATTCCTGAAACCCTGTCATTTGAGGACTGATTGGTGCTCCTTAATTGCAGTGACTGTCGTCCACAGCTCTATGTCTAATGCCGGGTCCGATGAGTGATACTTTCTTAGCGAAGATAAATCTCCAACATCGTGACAAAACTCCACAATACTTTCTTATTCACTTACAATTTACCTTTCGAACTGTAACAGCACGAATATGGTTTTACTTTCAACGCAGCACTCCCTGGTTATCATACTTCGTCCGCTTCAGCTTTACATAGCCCAGTGTTCGAATCATAGATCTTGTCTAGAGAAGCCCCCCCCCCGCCAAGCCTGATGTACAAGTGCCACTCGCGTACAGTCGGGTCCGGCCACAGATGAGAGAAAATGGATTTGTTACTTCTAAATTTTCCACAGACCCACCGCCTTTGGAGTCGAATCATCTGAGCGCTTTGTAAGAGAATCCATTTCTAGGTCACATTCAACCGGACGCTTGTGAGCGATGGAAAGCGCTCTTGCATGATTGTGTTTATCTCATTTTACTGAAGTAAACCACCATAGAACGTATACACATTTTCCCTAATTGGGGTAGGGTACAACAGTTCTCTAATGTGAGGAAGTTGAAACCAACCATAGTAGTGCTCGTACTGCCTATACATGATGGGGCAGAAGCTGGTCTTCAAGTGTTTGATATCCATGGTTGAGCAGTAACAAGTATACCTAATATTCATAGGTCACAATGACTGAGACAGGAGCCTCACGAGTCACCACGATGGAATTCCTCATATGCTAGGTTTGCAAGTCGTGCATTGAATCACATAGATCAGTCAACCTTGGACCTGGTGATCGGTTGTGTTGAGAATTGGACTGGTACGGTGAAACGATTGAGTTTCATCAACGGTAAAGTTGGAATGCGCAGAATGTGCGGTTCCGACACGAATTCCGGCCTGATAAGTTGTTAAATTTATCCGCTTAGTTGCAACTGACCAGTAGGCCCTAAAATGTGCCGCGGAAACATTTTCTACTCCAATAGTTATGACCTCTTATTTTATTGCTGTAAGCCACAAATGGCGGGACTGCAGACAAGATTGCCGATCGTACTCGGGCACTCCCTTCGAATCCGACCACGCATTAGCTTGTGCCAAGCTGTCCACGTGTTCTGTGGCTATTCCAAACACTGGCTTAGAAAGTTGTGGTCTGACACGTTGTGCCGTTACACCCTGGATTTGCACGGAGTCTCCGCGCCTTTCTGACGCACGACGATCAGCCCCAACTGGCAGCGACCATAATGGCTCGTGATGAAGCGTAAATTTATCGTAACCTTGCGCAGAGATTGCAAACCTTGATGATCTTAGTGGACCACAGAGGTGAGGCATGCTGCTGTCATGGGAACTTCCAGCAGGTTGTTCCATTTCATCCAGGTCACCGGCAGGAAAGCTCGGGGTGCAAATGAAACAAACTACGAATCCGAAGGCTAATCCATGCATAATCAACAGCGGTGTTTTGCACGCTGGGTGGAGCATTTCGGGGCACACTGTAGCTGGCCACCAGCATCATCCTCTCACATGGTTGTTCCGATACGTCTCATGGTCTGTTTCGATAGATCCGCCTTCTGAGACGGAAATTCGCGAAAAGAAGCAGACCTTGGGATGTTGCAAAGCGCCGGGCTTCGAGTGCCATCCTCCCGGCTCTCTTTAAAGATGATCAAATACAGTTTGTTAGAGAACTGGTGGCTGTGGTCTCTAGAATTTGGTACAGTCTGCAGGTACCCTCGTGGAGGTGGGTGGGGGGATTGGTTGTCGTACCTATCTCTACAAATGGCCCGTGCAATGACTGCGCCAACTATAGGGGTATAAACCTGATCCAAATAACGTCAAAGCAGTTGGCGTCCGTCATAATCTAAATCCACAGTTTGAACTCCATATA